CAGATAGCTTACAGTTGTCTGGATGCCCTTGCTCCTTCAAAGAACTATAATTATATTGGCAGGCTTCCAATCCTAGATTTGCTAAAAATTATTATTACAGATTGATAGCATTTCTTAGCCAAATCCTTAACAATTGTTAGATATTGTTATTTCAATCTGTTGATTTGAAGACAACTAATTTTAGACCTTGCTTCAGATCCTCTTTTACAGATAAAAAAAAAAATCTTTATCCACACTATGTGTGTTCTTCATAGACTAAAGACACATGAGATCAAATCAAAAGCAGACAGCAGTAAAGAAACCAAACCAACAAACTTACAATTTCCTTGATCAACAGCCTTTGGAAAAGACAGAAGTTCAAAAAACAACCTAACTCCCATTTTCAAAAAATAATTTCAGCTTAAGAATGTTCTCACTTCTAAAGATACAAAGACGCATATGAAAAACTTGCTGGTAACTCAGGATGCAAGTAGCTTGTTTGATCCATTTCATATTTCACTGAAACTAACTTTTTAAAAATACCTAACAGCTTTCACAGCAATCTAAATTATAGGCTAACCAGCAAACTTGCCTATCAACAAGTCATGATATTCAGCATAATTTGTCAGTCGGGTGTTTAATAAAATGCCTCAATTAACACACCAAGCGAATCAGTTCACTCAGTTTAACAGAATTTATTTGTCTCTTAATCTGAGATTTCCAAGATCAAACCATCAAGTCTCCTCCACTCCTCCTTTGCCAAATTTCCCATGTTTGTCAAAGCCACACCAAGGAGTAAAGGAAAAGGGGAGCAAGGCATCACTCTGTCCCAGCTCTGGCCAAGAGAGGGAAGGGAACTTAATGAGGACTAACATTCCCAAATCCCAAGGAAAGGGATGAGCATGAAGCACCTCCACAGGGGGCAGACCAGTTACAACCCAAGTTTGTTTACTCAAATTCAAATATCCATGTTAGAACAGCTCACATACATGAGCGTAGGTACAGTACAAAGAACTGTATGTGCATCAAAATAGAAAGGAACCACAGAATGGTTCAGGCTGGAAGGGACTTCTGGAGATGATCTTGTCCAACCCCTCTGCTCAAGCAGGGTGACCCAAAGCCAGCTGCCCAGAACTGTGTCCAGACGGCTTTTGAATATCTCCAAGGATGGAGACTCCACAACCTCCCTCACAGTAACAAAGTGTTTCCTGCTGTTCAGAAAGCACCTTCTGTGTTTTAGGTTGTGCCTGTTGCCTCTGGTCCTGCCACTGGGCACCACTGAGAGCCTGGCTCCCTCCCTCCAGGTATTTATGTACATTGATGAGATCCCCCTGAGCCTTCTCTTCTCCAGGCTGAACAGTGCCAGCTCCCTGAACCTCTCCTCACAGGAGAGACAATCCTGTCCCTTCATCATCTTTGTGGCCCTTGTGGCACACACACACATCAGCTCATTATCTATTTACTGCTATTAGTTATCTCAGGTCACTGGGTCCTTCGTTAATTTATTTTTTATAACTTAAATATTCCAGAAAAGTTAATTTTTTTTTTTTTTTTTTTTCTTTTCCAAAGCCAGAAATAGCCTCCTTAAGTCTTAGTAGTTCAACTCCAGACTTCTGGAAAAAGTGTCATCCTGCAGCTTTAAGCATAACAGAGAAGATACCAGACATGAATAGCATGTCTGTCACTTGATTTTACATTAGCACATTTAAGGGATTTAAGTGAACAGTTTAACAGGAATGGTTATAAAAACCCAAAATTATTTTCTACACTGACGCAGCTGGGACTTCTGTATTTTGTCAGTGAAGTCAGTAAGAAAACTACTGACTTCAGTGAAGCATTACATGAGCCCCATAACGAACTTTCCCTTCCCCACAGGTTGAGCCATGTTATTTGCCAACTATAAAATGAACAATCAAGTCAAAAGAGAAAGAGTTACCTAGAAACTTTAAAAACCTTGTTATCTAGTCACCTGTGCAAGCACTGCTTACATAGCTCTTAACTAACAGCCGCCAAATGCTTTAAGGAAAAACCTTGTGGCATTTGGGGTTTTGTCTTTTAAGACAAGTAGCAGTTTCACAACCATAGAAGGAACAAAAGAATTTCTAAGAAAAAAAAATACAACCAAACTTAACCCCATTATCAGTTACCAAATGCAAAATGTATTGGAATTGAGAACGTGTTTAAACACATTTTTCAGTTTCACAATTAACTGAGCCATGAAAGCACCAAATAAATATTGAGATAGCTTAATCACAAATTTAAAAAAAAATAAGAGTTTTTGAACCATTCAGGAGTGGTGTTACCACTCCATCTTTCATGAAAGTACCATCTTTTAAGTAAGACTTAAGTATAAAAATAATTGATCAATTTTAGTTAAATCCAAGTCTCAGGTAACTCATTTTCTGCTAATTAACTTTTAGAATAAAGTTGCTGAAATACAAAAAGTAAAGTTTCCTTCCTTTTTAATATGGTCAATTCTTTTTTCCCCCCCAGTGGTTTACCTTTTTCTTTCTCTCTCCCCCCCTCCCCTTTTCTATTGTTCAAGTAAGGCTTTAATCTTTAACATACCATGTATTGTCAAGACCCACCTAGAAGCAATAGCTGCACAAGGTTCAGTTACCTCAGGAAAATCAGGAAAATCACAAAGATAGAAACCTTATAAAGCAGAGACTTTTCGGATGCAGTGGAAGTACCTCAAGAAAGCACAGAGGTTTAGAAGAGCATCAGACTTTGAAGTCTGCTTTGGAGAATGCAGAAGTTTATCAAAAACCTCTCCTTCCTTCAGATGGAAGGAAAGCCAGTATACCCAGCACATAGCAGCTGAACTGATAAGCAGTCTAAGAACCTCAGTTGTCTCTTACTTGTTTCAAGAATTTTTAGAGAGGCTGGAGGGACTGAGGAACATTATGGGGAAGGAGAAGCAGGAAGAAGAAGAAGGATAATGGTTTTCCCAATCCATACTCATTAAATCCATGGGACAGCAAGCAGGGCAGGGAAAAGAAGAGAAACTTACTTCAGTGAATGAATGTAGATAATAGACAAAAACATTTTGTACAATACACAAGTGCTTTTCCAATACAAAAGTCACTTGTATCCATATTTACAACATGTATAGGTATTTGATGTTTTATAGTCTCCAAGTTTAAGAAGCTTGTGAACAATGCAGGTAACCTCTAACTAGGACTGCCAGCCAATGGGTCCCTCTATGGCATACAAAGTAAATCCCAAAACTTGGGCTATGCAGGTATATAGAAGCGCTCTGTTACCTGTATATACACACACCCACCATTAAAACACTGACAGGGCCCTTCTGCAGTCCTGAGGCCAGGTGGTACCAGTTGCATCCTGCTATATAGGACTTAACCTTACATCTCCCCTGGGCTCCAGGAGACACTTTTGTAGCCTGAAGACAAACATTTATGTGGGGAGGGGAGCCATTCACACTAGTTTCTGTTCAGACTCCCAAACCGAAAGCAGTAAATGGCATTTTTGTAGCAGAAAATTAACAGTGGTACACCCCTTCAGTAAAAGGTACAAGTATCTAGGGACACTATGAGGCATCAACCCTTCTGGGATACTGTGGCAACGGAGAGAACAAACCTTGTACAATTAGAAATGGCTCCCAGAGCTTCCCATGCAGCATCCAAGCACTGTCCACAACTTGAAGTAACAAATGACTCCATTTGTTACATTCTTTTTTCCTCCACTGAAAGTAGAGCTTTCCAGTTTTATCCAATGGTATGTTAATTCATACTATGATAGAGCAACATAAGCAAGGTAGTCAAATCTAGATCTTGCCCTCCCACCTGCACAGTAACTAGGAGTAACAAAGAACATACATACACAGTTGTGCATAGCACAGCAAACATTTCAGCAGAACAGGCAGTTGTTAAACCAGCCGATATGAATTGGGATGATCAGGAACTAGCGAGTTCCCTTGCTCCAGTGCAGGGATGATCAGGAACTAGCGAGTTCCCTTGCTCCAATGCAGGAATATTAAATACACACACGTGTCTACCTGCCTCTCACAATTAGGGAAGTAAACACTGCTAAATTTCCTTCTGCAAGAAACCTATGTAATTTGTTATGATAAAGACCAATATATACCTCCCTTTGCAGCCATGTAAGTTATAACTTGCATCGTTACAGGTCTAAAGAGAAATTGGTATGAACAAGTTGCTTTAAAACAACTTCTAATCAAATGAACCATTAGAATATAAGCCAGGCATCCAACCAAATAAAGTTGTCTCACATCTGCAGTAGTTTGAATGTATCAGGCTTTGTAGAAAATCCTAAAACTAAGAGCCTAATATGGCATATTTCAAAAGGCAATAAAATTATATTTTGTAGCAGACTATAAAGAAGCAGAGCGTTCTAATAGGCAGGATCATGAACTAAGACCACCTTGGCTTTGCACTTTCTGTGTGAAGCAATTTTCCTTTTTGGTTCTTTTACCAGCATGTTTCCTGACAGCCTCACATACTTCAGGAACCTATTCAAGCAAGGATTTGCTATTTTACTAAACATTTATGCAGGAATTAACACAGTGGGAACCTAATTTGGTTCTGATCTTTAGACTAGTGGAATAGTAAAACATATGCATACAGTAATAAAATAAATGCCTTTCCTGCTTTTAAGAATGACTGAAAAAGAGAAACAAGTGCCATTCTATATGGATTCAGATACCACTAGTCTAATCATGCATTGAAGCAAACCTAAAATAATGCCCTACATATGTAATTTCACAATAGTATTCTTAACCTAAGACAGTATTCACACTGCGTTATTCCTACAAAACAAAACAAGAAAGAGGAAATGACAAACACTTTAGATATTCCAAAAAGCTGGCAAAAATGCCCAAATAAGCCATTTTCTCTCCTGGAAATAAAGCCATGGTTAGCAGAATTCAAATACTGAAATATGATACAACCAGAAGCATGGCATATGTGCCTAGTTACAAAAAAACCTGAACGGTAGCATTCTTGTAAAAGCAAAAAAGATATTTTAGAATGGAAACTTACTTGTGCATATTTTCCACTCCTATTATGATCATGATATAGTAGGAAATTCCACTTTGTACAACAAAATGTAAGGCATACCTAGGAAAAAAAATAGTAAAACCTCACAGCATTTTCATTAATGACTATAAACTACATGCATCTATTTATTTAAAATGAAATTAAAGAGGTTTGTCAAATTTTAACTCCATCACTGCTTCCAAACCCCCCGTTTGTTCTATTTAGGTTTTCTGCAGCCATCCCTTCTGTTAAGAGCTTCCCCCTTTAGCATAGCACAGACAGCAGTAATGAACAAAAACTACAGACTTAGCTAGAATTCTCCAGGTCATAAAAAAAGAATATAGTAAATGCTGATAATCCTTAAAATAAGAAGAATATGTCTCACTATACTTCCACTTGGCATTATTTCATATGTAAATAACATGAATGTTTTGTGGTTCAATTTCCATACTCATCTTTTTACCTGTTTGCAACAACAGGTATCTCTGATAAGGCCAACAATATCCACAATGCCAGTACAGGGGAAGATTTCCCAGAGAGTAGAAATAACTCTGTCCAGCCAGTCTCTTTGCCCGGGATCATCAATAACTGATAAAGGGATGGTGGTGTGATGGTCTCAAAAACACAAGCAAAGAAAAAAAAAACCCTACACACCAACAACCCACAGATTTATTTCACAAAGGAGCTCTAACCTCTTCTCTTTATTTGTTTTCTACAGCTTACCACCCACCTCTACCACACCACCATTATTTTGGGGGGTTTGTTTTGGTTTTTAAAGGAGTTATATTTCAGTAAGCTAGTAGAGCACTGATGCCAAACCATTAACAGTGAGTGGGGGAAGCGTCTGATCTTCAGTAAGTTGATTCTTTTTCACTCTGCTATTTTATTCTAAGCACCTCAGTAGCATACTTTACATGTGCTCAAGTGACACACTAATCTAGTTTTGAAATTTTTCCCATGAAAAGCAACTTAAAAAGCAGCTACTGTTTTGTTGTACTGCTGATACTGTTTTCTTTCGGCTTATCATCACCGATTTCCTAATTTCACTCCTCAGCAATTCGTAAGCAAATGTCTTCAAAGACTTTCAACAAGAAACCCCGTTCTATCCAGCTAAAACCCTACAAAGTCTACACACTGAACTGAGGGAAAACAATTCACTTGGACATTAACTGACCTTGAAAATCTTGTCTTTTTATGGAAGATCCAATCTGCACACACTGCCAAGTTTCACTATTAACTAGTCTCATCTAAGATATGACTACCTAATATTCAAATGCACATTTAATATAAGCAATTGACGATTAAAAAAAAACAGTCACTTTTTCTTTTCATATCAGCCACGTATTAGCAACACTGTGTAGTAAAGAAGGCATTAGTGAAATGACAAAAATTTACGCCTAAGAGGTTGGCTTCATAACCAGAGAAAGGGACATAATAAGACATCAGAGCCTGAAAAAGTTTGGGTTGACATGGACTATCATATCAAGATTACAGTCTCTGAAAATATTTCTCTTTCAGAGTTGTTAACAGTAGCAACATGACTGATCTCCCAATTCAAAAATTAAAAGGGAAGCAGTTAAATACAACATGAAGTGGTACATTTTAGCTACAAATGGTATTCCAGGTCTTTTATGCTATTTGCTATTATCCCAAGGGAATGATCTTTTCTCTTCCTGTCCCACATCACCATCACAAGCACTAAAAGGTGACAAAGCTAACACGCCCAAAACTGAAGAGGACAACACAATGACAGATTCCAAACTATTCCCCACATTTAGGTTCGCATGAAGTTTTCTGCAAATTTACATTTACTATCACTACTATATAAGAAAACAGGAACAGTTTCCCTCCTGTGCACACACATTGTAACACAACTGAAGAGTCACTGAAGGTGAGCCATGGGATTGTAGCTTTATACTTGATTCCTTGGGGAGGGGTGAGTGGAACCAAACAAAACAAAATCCTCAAAACCCATGCTTTTATAACACATACTTAAGCAACAGGAAAAAGAGTTGGTGCAAGTACAACAGAAGTATCGGCTTTTTAAAGAGCATGTACTTTTAACATCTCAAATTATGTTCTTCCTTTTTGGCATTTTTCAAAGTCTTCTAGTTATTTTAGCAGTTAAGTATGATCCAAAGCAAACTAGAATAATCTGGATTTCTACTATGGTATAAGATTTCTCTAAATTCTTTTCCAGGGCACATTGCCAATGAGAGACTTCCATAAATCTTGATTTATGTCTGTTGGGGGTGTAGATTGTTTCTTTCTAAAGTCTCCCATCCCCCAAATTTCAGATTCTAATATACTATTAATGCTTTCTAGTTACAACCTACAATTAATGATTTCAGTTTCCAAAGCAATGGATACAGAATGTGCTTCTAAAGCTTACACAGCTCTCAAAAGCCACACGCAGTAGCCCCTGTCTCCCATATCATCCTCCTCATTTGGTGCTAAGACTGGAAGTCTTTCACATCAGATCATTCTCTCTAAGCAGGATACCATGGCCAAAAATGGGAGTTAGGGAATTTTATATAAAAGTAAATTGCACATGTAAATCCAAAGAATAAAACTTATGGATTTTTCTTTTCCTCAATTTAAAAGTAATACACATCAAGTAATGTTGAGAAGCCTCTGCAACATGCCAATGTAGAGGCCAAATCTGTGGCGTGGAATTCCAGGAATTATTTATACACACTCTGTGTGCACACAGACATATGCATGCACACACTGTGTGCATCTTCCCACCTGCACAACAGCTTGATTAATTCCCCCTAGTTCAGTAATACTCTACAACAGTCAGTATAAATAGGTCGTCTTCTTAAAATCTTAAAGCTGAGCAAGCACTTTGTTTACCATGCAATAAAACTGAACTGGCACTTAATTAATCTTAAACCAGCCTGTGAAGATGAGAGCCATTTAGTAAGCTAATTTTGAAGGAAAAAAGATTTTTCAAACTAAATGCATACCCTTTATTAGCCCTACTAACATTCTGGCCTGCTACACTGTGAAAAGATCAAGACGTGAAAAAAGCAGTCACAGAAAATTTGTGGTTAAAAAAACCCAAGCAAAACAAAACCACCACCACCACCCCCCACAAACCACACCCTCCCTCCAAAACATAAAAGAAAAAACCCCCCACAAGAAAATCGCAAATCAGGGCCAGCTCCTTCCCAGATATTTTATACTATTATGAGCATCATCAGCACTGCAGTTCTGGCCACTCTTCCTACAAAAAGTCAGAATAATTCACTATTCAGAAAAAGACAAAGGGACTTCTCATGCAGTGAATATTTAAGAGAAATTACCTTAGTCATCACACCTGTGCCTCAAGAGAATACTTCTCAAGCAAGTTTACAGAAAAACTGGTACAAGTTAAACAAACAGCACCTGTTCCATCCTCCCAAAACCACAGGCAGACAGTATGTTAGTTACCAGTTTGCAAATGCAACATCTTTCAAAATTTGATCATCAGAATATTTAAGCCAATTTGTATACATTTGCAGCAGGCTAAACCCCACAGAATTAGGTAATAAGGTTCTTCATAACAAGACTTTGCTACCCTGCAAACAAGAAATGAAAATCTACAAATCCCTGAAAAGTGAATTTAAGTGCAACTTACCATCCAAAACAAAAAAGTGCAAGATAAAGGCCCAAGAGGGTTGCAACAACATGTCTTATAAATGGGCTAGTTTTGCTTGCATGAAGGTATGTTCGAAACCAAATAGCCGCAAGCAAGGCAAACAGTTGGCACACTACAAAGTTGACCTGTATAGAAAAAGAAAAGAAAAAACTCGTCACACACTTATGTATTAAAAATTAACATAAAACCCCACACATTATTAGCAATTTGCAGAACCTTTGGCTCTGCCATGGCTCTTACCACAGCACGTCAACCTCAAAGAGCTTCCTTCTCTCAAGAACCCCTCCCCTCCCAAAGCAGAAAACAGTGCTCCCCTGAGCAGCTAAGAAGAAAATATACATTAAACCTGTAAAGGCAATCTGTACATTAATCAAGAAAAAAAAAATCCACTTTTTACATATTTCCCTGTAAATTTCCTATATACCCAACCACTCTATCAACCATGGAATCATTTATACTCTTCCAGTAATGTGAAGATCTAGGTTGGGGTTTTATTTGTTTTTTTTTTAAGTGAGCATGACATGGAAATACATATCAGCTACACAAATCACTGGCAGATCACTTCAGTGGCCTGTGCAGAAGCAGAGCTCAACGAAGTGTGCTTCAGTGGTGCATAAGCAGATAAACAGCTTGGTTGCACACTGGATTTTCTTCTTGTACATTCAAGTAGGATAGTTTCAGAAATTCATCCTCCCTTCAGGCCATTTATTCTAGAAGATAGAAAGTCTCTTGTATATTAAATATTTTAAAACATTAGGGCACTAAAAGGAAAAGTGGAATTAAAAAAACCAAACCAATGAGTAAAAAGAATCATTCTGACTGCAGCCTGAAATAAATTTAACATTAAGGGCAGGGTAAAGAAATAATTTCCTCAAATATAGCAACCGCTACCAAAACTGGCTTAAGCTGCAAAAAGCCAGATTAATTCCTTTATTTAGAAAATAACATCTCCCACCCCATGGATCTTTTTTCTTCCATAGAAAACTGCTTAACAATTGTCTGTGTCTATAGCAGCATCCCAAGTCATCACAAGCAACAGCTTGGGGACCACTCCTTCAGGTCATAATCACTTCAACATAAGAAACTTGCAGATACTGCATGCTTGACTAGTCCTTAGCACAACAGTGGGTTTGGCCTGTTTGATGTCACTTAGCTGAAATACATACTTAATGCCACAGGGTAAAATGACAACGCTATTTTTATGTTCATGACAGCAGGCCTAATATTGATGTTTGCAGCAACACAGTGCATGCCTCTAGAACTGTAATTTATCTAGCCCATTCCTTCATGTTTCAGCCAGGCTTCAGACGATAACAGGTAAGGGTGTGAGCATATGTAAATATTTAAAGTAGAAGCCAATTAACACCAACTCCTACAGAACTCTTCTTCGTACAATTGCATAGATTCCCCATTTGCAAATCCAAGGATAAGTCCCCTTTTTCTGAACCACTTTAAAAGTTTCCATAATACCAAGTTACACAAGCTTTAAGTGATAGCAGGGAAAGA